TTGTCAGCAGCGTAGAAGCCGCCCGTAGGCGTGGCGTGGGGTCAGCCACGGTGCCTTGCCGTCCTTCCCAGAAGAGCGCTTGCCTATGATTAAGGCTTCTGAAGGAAGTAGACGTTACCATCATACATCGCTTTAAAAGTAAAGTTGCGCTGGGAAATTCCCTGAAAGTAACGCGAAAAAACTCTCTATGAAGTGATATTTAATAGTACGCTAAGGAGAGATTTCCATTCTCTCTGAAAATTTCTGCTCTGCCTCTACTAGTGCACGGTGGAGTCTTTCATCATTGCAAAATAAATGTTCCTAATGTCTGAAATAATTGTCAGAATATATACCAGAACATGCCTAAAATTACTCACGTACAGTGAAAACTCATTAACATGCTGGAGAAAGAGTGGTGTTTTCTAACTGATACTTCATAGAATTACAGCTCTTATTGATGGTGATCATTCTTCTAGCAGATGGGTCAAAGAGCACTTCATTACAGTTTTAATATCTCCAGCTCTTACAGCTCTTGGCAATCGAGAGGAACGGAAAATTAGAGTTTCTTCCTCCAAACAGGGCAAAAATGAAGCACTTCTATTTTCTAATCTAGGAGTTTTTGTTATAGGAAAGGGAATCCCTGCAGGCAGATACGTGTCCTCCCCTCCTCTGCTCCCCCTGCGCGTATGTAAACAGGGGCAATGAGAAGTGCAGCGAACGCAAAGGAGGTGATTCTGTTGCCTGATTTTTGCCACCTGCTTTGCTTCCAATTCTGAATGCTGCTTGAGGTCTAATTTCCGATTTTGCTGTTTCCTCTTGCTTCAGACAGCAAGAGTGGAAAGAGGATATAGCTGATCCCTTCAGTGCCTCAAAAATTCACTTTCACGGGTCGTTTTTGTCTGCAACGGGAGTTTGATAGTTGGCTGAAAATAGAAATGTGTTTGTACTTGCAGTAACAAGCGTTTACAGGCCTTATCTGAGGAACCCTTTCTGCTTTCACGGTGTCACTGTTCTGGAGGTTGCAGCAAACTCGTGTTGTTGCAAATACACCCTGGTACCTATGCAGGAGATGCTGGGGGAAGCCGTTTTTCTTCTAAAATACAGTGACTGACGGCACCCTTGACAGAGCTTTAAGTATTCAAGTTAATAGTAGCATGTGCTGTGAGCACGATTGTTCTGACTACCTTGCTTTGATGAAGCAGCACAGGCCTGTGGAATTTTTGATGTATTAAAAGGAATGTCGTAGAAAACAAAGGAAATAAAGAAAAATATTGCAGCAGTGGACGTACTGTGAGATCAGGCCAGAAGTTCTGTGTCTTGTTGTGAGGAACTTTTTGTCTATGAGAAAATAGACACGTAGGAACAAAGTCAGGCAGAAAGCGCATACGATTTAGCGAAGAGGAATGTATTTGAGGAGTTTAAATACTTTTATTTTTCTGCCCCCAAAAGAAATTTGTGAAAAAAGAGAAGATAAAAATATAACTTGCAATAAACAGTAGTAGAAGACAGCACAGTCCCTTTTTGAAATACTGTTAATTGCTTGTACAGAACAAACAGACTTCCGTCTTTAGCTTTCTTTTCCCTCTCATTTTTGCAGACTGTGGAAGTGACCAAAAAACCCAACTGGTAGGTTTGAAGAGAGGACTTGTTGGGCTGTGCTGACACAACACTACTCAGGCATAAGATCAGACCCAGCACCGTTCTTCTGTTTTCTGTCGTAAAGCTCGTTCCCGTTTGGAGTTAAGCAAAGACATTCCCTCTTACTGTTGATTGTTCAGGGGCTAGATTTCCTTCCGTGTGCTACGTAGGATCCAAAGGATACTATTTTCTAAGTTACCAGGGTGTTTTGGTTTGTTCTTGATTATTTTTTGCGCTTCGAAAAAGGTACTCTTGGCCTAGAAGACTACCAAAGCAATGCTATAATATAAGCATCCTCCCTTCTCTTGTTTTAAATAAACTCTCAGTTTACACACTGAATTTTGATCACTGAACAAAAGCAGATGCTTTATTTTAGGCAGGTGTTTTAAAAGTTCTAGCCTTAGTAGGGCAAGTTTCTCTATTTCTTGTTAAGTGATGACTTAACTAGCAGAATCACCAAACATAATGTTGAGAAAAAGGTTGTTTTTGCAATGTTACAAAGACAGCTTCACTTGTGGAGATTCTGCTGCTGTTTTTTTCCCGGCTGGCACATTTTCTAGTTGAAAAAGAAGTGTTGATTGTGTGAATAAAATTCAGCTTACTCTTCCGTAGAATATTGACTCTGCAATGTGAATGGCACTAAAATGGAGTAATGTATATATACATGTTTGTTTGCTTTTTTTACTGGAATAAACACTCAGAGTATGATTATGGGAAGAGAGGCGTTTCGCTAATAAAAATTACCATATAGTCCCTGTTCAGAGGAGGCTTGCGGTATAAAGGAGGGGGAACAGGAGGTCCCAGTGGAGCAGTGCATAGAACAGGGTGCGCGCAACAGTCTGTCCACGGCAAAAAATAACTTGCTGTGTGCTCGTCAGTGTTTTCTGTCTTCATGCACGTCTCCAGATAAATGACAGGAGGAAATAGATTGTATGAAACTCCTCTCGTGGGGACTCTTTCTTGCTGTCGCTCAGTTTGTATCTTTGTTTTCCAAGGCAAATAATGAGAGAGAACGGTGCTACAAAATCAGTTATGGTTCAGCTACAACGTACGGACTAGCTTGGTAAACAAACACTTGCTGTGTTTTGCTCTGCAGCATAGGGTAGTTGAGCTGGGTTCGTGCTCACGTAGGCCGAGGTGCTCAATCAGTTCTCTCAAGCATGTGGTCCAATATACACGGAAAACCACGTAAGACTTGTGAGGGTCTTGGAGGTCTTCTCTAGGAGTGCAACGAATAGACAGAGAGGGAAAGCAGTGCACCGAGGAGGAGTGGCATGTACGTCCTACGTTTTGCCCTAGAGCTCTCTATGGGCAAACTAGGAAACCTGTTTTGGGGAGTGAGGCCACAGTTTTCTAGGACGTGACTAGATCGGGACCAAATGGAGAAAATACGAAGCGGCTCTGCTCTGCCGCTGCTCCGAGGCAACTTCACGTGAGTTGGCAGTTAGGAGTGGGGATCTGAAACAAACTTGAGTGGCGAGCTGAGAGGGTCTGCCTCTCATTCTGGCACAGAAGAAACTGCATTTTTCCTTATGCATGTAAAATCTGTTTGGAAACAAGCAGGATTTTCCTGTGGAGACTAGCTTAACGTGGAAGAAGAGAAGTGCCCCGTTGAATAATACGGATTCGCTTGATTGCTTTATTTTAAAGTTGTTTGGCAAATATCTCAGAGTAGGGAGACAAAAGCAATTGAGGCAAAGAGACTTAACACAGTCAGAGGCTTAGTTGCTGGGACTCTTCTCATTAACTCTTTTTTAAGTACTTAATTTCTGAAAAAGAGAGGAAATCCAGAAAGTGGCTGCTTTGGAAACTCTTTTAAGAGGATAAGTGTTAGCTGGATAAAATACTGAGTGTGAGAGAGATGTGGCCTGGTTTGTTGAGAGAGGCTGAAGGGGGGGGGGGGGGAGGGGGGGAGAGGGTGGGAGAGATTCTCAGTGATGGTATCTCACAGGTTTTGCATTGCTGTAGCAGTAAAATCCCTTTCTATGATTAGTCACTTCCAATTCTTGTCAAATAAGTGGGAATCCTCAACCCTGTTTTTGTGTATTTTCTATTTTGTTGCTTTTGCATTGAATTTTTGTTTATGTATTTTTATTAATATTTATTTATACTAGAAGATTTTACAAAGTGACTAAGTTCTAAATTTCTGTTGAGCTCCAGAACAGGAACCTTTTGTTTCTGAAGATTAGGACCTTAAGATGATATCAGAAGTTAACCTGGAGCCAGTGATGAGACAGTGATGAATGTTTAATCTTTTCGCAGCTGAGTGACGTTTTACAGGAGGTTTACAGCTGCATTAAGTCCCAGCGGTAGACCTCTTCTGGTCTCCAGGCACCATCTTGTCCAAAGCCAAAGAGAAATCCAAAGTGTAAATGGCACATGTGTGGATCCCTGTGGCTGAGGCCTTCAGCTAGGAGATTTTTTTATTATTATTATTTTTTTGTAAAAAGGCTGTATCTTGCAACTGAACAGAAACTAAGAGGAATGCCTGTAAATTCTTGGAACCCATGGAGAGTATCACATTTTTTTCCAAAGGACTCCTCTCAACCGATTTCCATTGGTTAAGTTTTACCACTTACAGTGGATACCACCACGTGTCAAGAATCTGATGTTTGTAGTCGTAGCCGTGTCTTGGTCTGAAGAATGAAAAACATAGTGGAGTGTTACTGGTGTGTTGTTAGCACTAGAGCCTTTGTCATCAGTTATTGCTCTGGTTATCCCTCATGTAATTTGAAGAATAAGAAAGCTACATTCAGTAGCTCCGTAGAAATAGAACCGAAATCAGTCTCTGTTCTTTATATTTGATGGAGAGAGTCCATGAGACCAAAATAACATTGCCATTTATCCTCCCTCTGTACTAAATACATGCTGTAGCAGTAGTTTTTGGTAAAAATCTCTTTTTTCACCTTTTGCTGTATTTTTATGCCAGAAATTACAAAAACCTTGCTAGAATGAGCAAAAAGGGTAAGAGAGTGATTCTATTGCCTCCTTTTCTCCTTACTGAAATGACTGACCAAGTAACAGTCCTTGTCCTATATTGAAGGATGACCGTATTCAAATATAAACTCGCAAGCGAGAAGGAACTGGGCTGTTTTAAGTCTTTCTCGTACTGCATTACAATGGCACAGGTGGTGTACAGGCAATGCAAGCGCACTACCGTCCCTTTGCCGGAAGAGCCCAGCTGGCAGGCTGCGTAAAAGAAGACGGGAGCGAGCACTGGTATGCTGGTATATTGCCTTGGCTGTTGAACATGTCAAACATGCTAAGCTTTTTGTTTGTATTTGCGTCTTTTTGGTTTTGTTTTGTTTGCTTCCTTATTTTTACAGTTTCTCTGAAAGGGTGCTCAAATAAAGAAAGAGGTTCGTTGTTGTTGTTGTTTGCAGGTTTCCAATCTGTACCTGTACGACAGCGTGCTCATGCTGGCCAACGCTTTCCACAGAAAGCTGGAAGACAGGAAATGGCACAGCATGGCCAGCTTGAACTGCATGCGGAAATCCACCAAACCCTGGAACGGGGGACGATCCATGCTGGAGACTATTAAGAAGGTGAGAATAGACAAACTGAGGTTAGCAATTGAAAGAGTGCTTTCAGTTCTACTTGGGATGAGGTTTTGAGAAGATTTTTGACCTCCATTTAACTTTTCTTTGATTTGTTCCAAGGAAATTATTTACAACTGCTACAAATGACTTACAGTTATGGAACAAGCAAATGATTTATTGCGGTCAAATTACGCACACTGCTTTGTTGCTCCAGTGGTGTGTGTTCTCCTCTTGTTGCTATCGTTGCTACTTTCTGTAGAAGTAATGTGATTAGAAATAGGCATGGAGATTGATATGTGCATGCATCATAATGATTTCCCCGCGAGAAGAACCTTCAGTAGCTTGTGGAGTCAACCAGCAATGAAGTTTAAGACTTGTGTTCAAGGTACTGCAGCTCAGCTAGCTTCATAATTTAGCTGAGCATCTGTTTGTGTGTGTACTGCAGCCCAGTAAAAAAAGGCATGTGATTTAGCTAAATTCTCACTCAAAGTTATGCTGGCTTGCAGTGCATTGAATTACTCAAGTATGGACAATACTGTAGCCTTGCAGATGCATGGTAACGTCTTCTGTGAAAGATATTTGATCAGAAATAGGAACAGGAAAACATTCCTTTTTTACTATACTAACTTAAGCAATTCTTTAGAAAAAACAACCTCTTTATCATTGCCTATATATTGATGAATGTTTCTGCTCTAGTGAAAAGATGTGATTTGAACAAATGCTCTGTTATGCTCTGACAAGTCCTTGTAACACTTCTTTGGTTGCCTGGTTAACTCAATATCTAGTGTTATTCCAAGCTGCTTTGCTGCAACCCCAGAGTCCGACTTGGTGATGCTTTTACAGGGAGGTTTAAAAATGCAAAAAAAAAAAAGATCTTTTCCTCGTGTCTCACTTGATAGCGCACAAGGCATCACTCCTTCTGCTGGACCGGGAGTTCATGCCTTTGTATTCAACTCCAGACCTGCCCTCACCAGCTGTGCTGAAAGGGCTGTTTGCCTCTGGCCCCACCAGGGTCCCTCCTGCTTGTCTTTGGGGTCCAGCTCGGTGAAGGATAAAGACCTGAAGGGTGTTTCGTTTTTTTTGTTTGTTTTTTGTTTTTTACATTAAACAGTGGATGTGTCAGTGGTAAATTAATTTTCTCAGAAAATTAGTTTCTTTTGTCTGAGGCTGTGTTTGAGCTCCTGAAGAATGCAACTGCCAGGTTTAAATTCCCTGTAAACGTTTTCAAAGCGATTTGGCATATCTTCAATAGAACGGAGTGTTTATAACGGCAAATTTGTTCTATTCTAAATTCTATAAAAATTGTTTCCTTAGGGCCATATAACTGGGCTTACTGGCGTTATGGAGTTCAGAGAAGATGGCGCCAACCCCTACGTTCAATTTGAGATACTGGGCACTAGCTACAGCGAAACGTTTGGCAAAGATGTGCGGAGGGTAAAGATACGCTATTTCTTTCTCCCTCTTCCCCCCCCCCCCCCCAATAATATACATTCTACTTCACAGGAGGAAATGTTATTCTCTAAGAACGAGTTAGTGCTTTTGCTCACGCTACAGAAGTAATTGACTATAAAAAATAATATTTTCTAATTTCTTACGTGCTTTTAAATCTTGAACGCTAATTTTATACTGGTAGGCAGGAGACCCGCAAATTGTTCTCACATGCGCACTGACGTTACAGTGCCATAACAATACTGTGAGCGAACTAGCAAAGACGACAGAATTCTGTGTTGATGTTTTTTCATGTAAATTATGGTATAATTGATAGAACTGACACTTGTCTTACTAAGGAAGTTAACTGAGACTGTAAATTATCTAAACAAACAGATGTTTCAAAGCAGAGCTACTGTAAGTATTTGGGGGTGGGGGAAGGCCCTAGAGAAAGTAATTTCAGAGGTGGAGGACGTCACGAAGTAAAGGATGACATACCAGTGCGAGCTGGTGGATCAGGACAGCCTGAAATTAGCAGGCAGTTAGAGTGGTTTCATGGGATCGTTAACGTAAACCGTCGTGTTCTGAAGAGGCTACCTAAGACGTCTTCATACAGAGAAGATGCTCCAAAAAAACATGAAACTGTATTGAACAACTGAGTTTTGGTTGGAACCCCACCTACGAGTGTCCAAGGAAGGATGTGGCTATACTGGGTTGTATGGTTGAAATACTAGCGTTGCCACTATGTGGTTAACGGTACCTGCATTAAGCAGAGTTGAGCAAAGAGACGGAATTCTGAGCAGAACTGAAGTTTATCGAAGTTTTCGTTCCTCGTTTGACCATTTGTTTCTATGTTTCATTTTGAATCACCCAAATTACACCAACCTAAATGTTAAAATGAACAGAGGACTTGTCTGTACATTATCGTCTTAAAAAGTTCAAGCCGAGATTCTTTTAGAGTCTAACTTTTAGGCTGGGCATGAGGATTCTGGACCAAAGGCTTGCAACGGCTATTAGGAATGCAACGGAAGGAAGAGAAGCATTTGAAATGTGTAAAGTTCTAGGTCCTGTAGTTGAAAAGCCTCTCAGGAAAAAATGTCTCTAAAGACTTTAGACTGACCGGGCACTCTCCTGTATTGTAATGATAGGGAAAAGGCTGTTTCTCAGTCCACTTCACTTCATGTCTAGAAATTGTCTCCTGCGAATGAGGAAGTCTCACTTTTGTAGACTAGCTGAATGATGAGAAATCAAGGTCACTTTGGAAACACTGTTGTCTGTGGAGCGTCCTACCATGTGTCCGGCTGACCACTCCAGAAAAGCGTGAGTCTGCTGTCAGTGCTATATTATTCTGGCAGATTCCTGGGATACCGTGGGGCAACTTGACTTCTGTTCCATTTTGATAGAAATTTCCCCAGTGATTTTGAGTAAGTCACATACTCGGTTTGTGCTTTGACTTTTCCCTTTCAGTAAAATTGGTGTAATTACCAGTTAGAAGAGGTTTGAGGCTTCAGAGGGAAATTATGATGTGTGAGTATACATTATCACTTTTAGTAGAGTGTACATTTCATATCTGGTAACATGTATACAAAAGCTCTCGCTTCAGTGTGTGCGGCACACGCTGACCAAGCTGGGATGTAATCCAGATGTGTGAAGTGGAGCTAACTAAAATATCACTCAAAAGAGACAGCAAGGCAAAGAAATGGGAAAAATGACTAAATGGGAAAAGGACTAAAATGACTGAATGGATACTGTACAGATCATTTTTGATCCCTAGTTTATTAATGTGGGATGAGTTTGTTAATATAGGAAGGCTCTTTGGATGTCAAATGCAGAACCTCATACTGCTCCAAAAATGAAAGGGAGTAAAATTCAGAATGCATAAAAGCTACTAGCTGTGGAATACTCCTCCGAGCTTAAAAGGAAGTTCTGAAAACGATCCTTTTAGCCTAATAGATGGAGGGAGTGAAAGATTAGCAGTGTGCTAGAGCCACATACCCCAGAGTATTGAGAAGAATTTGGAAGAGATGATATTTCTCAGAGCAAAGCTACCATGGAACCGCTGGAATTCAATTATTTTGACAAGCTGACTTTTTATTATTGCAGCAAAGATGTGTTACAGCTCAGGAGTACTTTTAAAAGCTCAGAAAGTCATACTTTTCCTCTTTTATATGACTCGAGTAAGAGATCAGTTCTGTTTTATTATCAGTTGTTTCCATATCGTAATTTCCTCGGATGCAGCTGTGGGGAGGGACGCGTTTTTCCTGAAGAACAGAGGACCTTTCTGCCTGCTTTTCCTTTCCTCTTTATGGAGAGCTTCTGCATTTATTCATCCCTGCCCTGACCCTGCAAAAAGCCTTCAGGGTTAGGATCTGTGACAGGATGAAGCAAAAGAATATAACATTGAGTATTGAGCCTTATGGGGAAGTCAGTCAAAAACTAACGTACCATAAGACTCGACATCTCTTACAAAGTTTCTCGGGGATCATTTCCACCAGAAGACTCCTAGGAGGATGTCCGAGGTAATAACCTCTGTGTGCCGGGAATTCCCAGGGCCTTTTTGTGGCACATCTTGGCACTTCTGAGTTGTCCTGAGATCTGTTCTTTCTGCAGACAAAATTGTATTTTTCATTCCACAATCGTGTGATAGAGTTTCGAGTGCAAGTAAACACACTTTTCCTTTTTCTGTGTGCCTTCTCCTTCCTTCCCCAATTCTAACGCTATGTTCCTGTGGCAAAGGGTGATAGGGGCTCTTACAGCTTTTGTTTATTCTGTTTTCCATTGTTTGAGCAGACTTTAGTGATGGGGAGACTTCAGAAAGTGATCCAGTGCCTTTCATTTAAACATAAAATCTTCCAATCAAAAACATCTTTTGAGAAGCCAAGCCGTAGTTCCAAAGCACAAGGTAAATCCGTTAGGGTCTATCACCTTGGTTTTCAGAAGACTCGGGTGATTGCCTTCTGTCCACTGTGTGCATGTGGAGGTTGAGAAAGCATGGTATACTCATGCTTTAAAAAAAAAAAAAGAGATTAGTGTGGTGGTCTAACAGGGCATTTTGAAGTTGAAGGATAGGGTTTTTAGAGACACTGGAAAGCCTTAAATGCCTAAGAGTTGATGATTTCCGGTATGATTTAAATTCCTAAAGCCTGTGAACACCTTTACAAATATCAATCTGAGCATTTGCATATTTAAAAAAAAAAACAAAACTAGAGATGAAGAGATATGGGAGCAGTAAAAAGTCTAAAACAGAGTCTGTTGAAAAGAAAAAAGGAGGAAACTCTAATATCTAATGCCATGCTAATGCTTGAAATAAAAGGAAATTTCAGAGACAAAGAATGAAAGAAATACAGAGGATATATAACTTGGAAAAACAAGATCAAGTGGTACAGAGTGTTGAGGTGAAGCCGAAGGAGCAGCTAGGACGTGGCTAATAGCCTATTATGCTCAAAGTCCTTTTGAGACCTTTGGGGTTTTCATTTGGAGCTGATTTAAAAAAAAAAAAAAAAAAAGTCTTTTCATTTCACCTCTTGCGTCCACCTCCCATGCTAAGGGTGTCTGCATCGAATTCACCAGCAGTCTTAGTTACTGTAATTGCAGGGTTATGCACCGTCCAAGGCTCTTGCTGTGAATTTAAAGAGCTACCATGAAGTCTTTTTTTCTTTTTTATTTGCCCTTTACTCATTTTATTTATTTTTTTTTTAACCCACAAGGATAGGAAAAGCTTCTCTATTGTTTGTTATTTTTAATGTCTTCTAGCTTAAGCTTTCTGAGCCTTCGGTTAACTCCCAGCGCTGCCAGTGGCTGGGTGACGGTTAAAAAGTCACTTTGCATTGTTGACGCATTTTCCTATCTGTAGTATGGAGTTGAGGGTACTTGCCTGCCTTGTGAAATGTTTCGAACTGTAAGGGAAAAGGCTGTTGCAAAGGCATTTAGCTGTTATCATCAATGAATTTAATGAATCGTAGTACTGAAGAGCCATGTATTCCCACGTGTAGGAGAGACCACCCCTTCAGAGCTTGTCTGCAGTTGTCAGTGGAGAAATATGTCCCGCTGTCGCAGGACAGGGAACCTGACATGGGAAGGGAAGTCAGGACTGCCATCATGTCCTCCCTAGTGGACAGCTAGGTGATTAATTGTTATTAATGGAAGCCTTGCTGTAGCATTCTGAACATCTGAGGCTGTACATTCTTCTTAGGTTTCTGCACTTGGGTTGAATGCCACACAGAAATGTATTTTAATGATCCTGTAGTGAGAGGAAGGTTAAGGGAGTCAGGACCCCCTAAGGGAGGGTGCTAATCCTAGCAGTCACTAACTCAACGGGGAACTCTTGGACCTATTTCTTCTCATTCACCCATATAAAAAGAGAGTATAATAGCCACTAGCTGCCCTTGCAGGGATGTGATTAGGCTGAGTGAGTTAACGCTTGTAAGGAGCTTGGAGATTATCTTCTCCGTCGCCACCCTTGGCATCGAGATTTTCTGCGAGTGTGAAACGCTGATGTTTTTTTAGCGTGTTTTACGACAGGGATCGTATTTGCTCTTTAAGCCTTCTGCGTTTCTTTCCCAAGCTGGCTGGAAGGAAGGCAGAATTAGCAGTTTACACACATGCTGTGTTTCATAAGAAACATTCTGTTCAAAATGATAACGTTAAGCACTGGTTATTCATTTATGTCGGTTCGTATGTTTTCATTTATTTATTTATTTTAATTGGCTTTTCTTGAAATACCATCTGCTTCATAAACGCTCAATATTTCCTTCAGCACTGTTGAGGCAGATCGCAGAAGTAAGTAGTTTTCTGATACACTTTACGTTTGTTGAAACCTCGTTTCCGAAATCTGATGAAGTGCTTCAAATCTGATTGTGAGCTACAGAAGGGTTTCATCATCGTCATGATAAGAAATCCTTTGCTTTTTATTTGTTAGAAGTGAACTGTATTTTTAGGGGTCTGCAGTATTAAGTGCTTTCACCTGTAACAATATAGCCGAGTTGCAACTTCTTCCGCTAAAAGTT